CCAATATTTTGCCAAGAATCTGCCAATATCCTACAAATGACGAGTTAGAAATCTTCAACTCAGCCATTTGTAATCTCCCTCACAGCGCAATAAAAAAGGTACTTCAGTACCAACCACTGTCCCCTTATGTACCACCATCATGCTCCTTCAGCTACAGCTGATGTATAGCCTGCAATTTATCTTCAATACTACCCTGACACTGGAATTTGTGCATACCTGCCAACACACATTCACAGAATTCACAGAATTGTTAGGGTTGGAAGGGACCTCTGGAGATCATCTAGTCCAACCCTCCTGCCAGAGCAGGGTCACCTACATGCCATGCCACAAACAGTGATTTGTGCACCTCTGCTCAGTCTCCCCACTGGAAGCACACAGCACTGACATTCAAATACTCTTGAACCTTGCAGGACCTAAATCCACATTTACCTTAGATTTTTAATATCATGCTTCAGAAAAAGGCAGCAATACACCAGACTGGTCTGACCTCAACAGCCTGATGTTGGCTTGGGGACTGGCACTCAAGGTAGCCCACATCTCCCCCCTTCAAACAATGCTGCCATCAGGATGTGGCCCAGAAGAGACAAGCAGCACACCCTACTGAGGGGCAGCACCAACCAGAGCCATGGCTTGCTGCATCTCCAGTGGTGGCAGCAGCCAACAAGAAAACATCAACAATCAATTTAGCAAAAAGAAAAATCAGGTAGGCCACCTGAAACAAACACCCTATTGACAACTGGAATCGTAAGCTGCGAAGACAGAAGGTACCTTAAGTCTGGATGGTTATTTTTGCCAAACTGCTAACTGTAGTTTGGGTCAATCCAATTTGTTCAGTTGCTGAGGAAGCATTTGGGAAACATTTACATTCCACAGAAACCAAGTAAATCAACAATTCACTATCTTTTCCCATAAGCTTCACTAAGTTACTAACTTCAACTCGAACACACCTAGAACTCTCACACAGTCCTCTTCAACATCCTTCTAAAAGACAAGTGATAAATCATTCTAGCCTCATAAATATCTCCTGACTACATGTCCATTTTCATTTCTAGAAGATAAGGAATCTTAAATGCTCATTATAAAAAGAAAGCTATAAATAACCCTCACCGAACTCTCAGAAAAGAAATTAAAGCTCCACTAAATAACAAGGTCATTAAGATTAACCTAAATTTAATCTTCAAATTAATCTTAAAATCCCAAAGATTAATCTAAATTTAATAAAGACCATATAGTCAAAGTTTACATATCACCTATAAAAAGCTATTTAGAGATGCTTGAATTTAAAAATAAATTACATTTTTAAAAATATTAACACTATATTTCCTTAGCAGCACCCTTAATACTGTCACTACTCTGTGATTTTGATTTATCCCACATCCTCACACAGCCACTCGCTCACTCCCCCGACAGCTTGGGTGGGGTGGGGGAGTGGGTGGGGGTGGGTGTAGAATTGGAAGGATAAAAGTGAGAAAGCTTGTGGGTTGAAATAACAACATTTTAATAATTGAAATAAAATAAAATCATAAACTGTAATAAAAAGGAAAATAACAAAGAGAGAAATAAAATCCAAGACAAGTGATGCAAATGAAAAGAACTGTTCGCTACCAACCAACCAATACCCAGCCAGTCCCCGAGCATTGGCCCCCCTGCCAACCTTCCCCCTAGTTTTATTGCTGAGCATGATGTCATATGGTATGAAATATCCCTTTGGTCAGGTGGCATCAGCTGTC